ACAACAAACAGTCGCAGGAGTAACAATAGTCGTAGTGGTGGTAAAAGTTACGGTCGTAGTACTAGTAGTAGTAGTAGTAGTAGTAGTAGTAGTAGTAGTAGTAGTAGTAGTAGTAGTAGTAGTGGTGGTAGTAGTAGTAGTAGTAGCAGTAGTAGTAGTAGTAGTAATAGTAGTAGTAGGAGTAGTAGTAGTAGTAGTAGTAGTGGTTGTAGTAGTAGCAATATCAATGGTAGTAAGGGTGGTAGAAATAGTCGACATAATAATCATAATCGGGGTGACGTTTGAATGTCTGCATCTCCTCAGAATTCCTCGAAATTCTTTAGCGTCTGAATTATTTGTTTAGAATTTCTGGATGTTTTGGATTTCAAGAATTCTGGATTTTTCGAATCACTGGAAATCTCGAAACTTCTGATCGTTCTCATAATCTCCCACAACAAGGAATTCCACAAGTTCTAGACGTCCCAGAAATATAACATCTGAGGGAAAACCAACAAATCAAAACATCCCAAAGGTTCCTGAAGATATCGGCGCCAGCCAACTCTGGAATCCTCTGGTCGTCTGGAATTTCCGAAATGGCTGGGATTTGCAATCTTCTTGGGATCTTGAAGGTTTCTGCAGGCAGGAACTTCCGGAATTTTTGGAGTTTCTGGAATTGCTTCGACGATGACTCGAATTCCTGGAATGTTTGGATTGTCTTGAGCTTCTGGAATGTCTTCGATTTGTGGAGTCGGATTTTCTTGTATTTTTTTGGATTTCTTCGATTTCTCCGGAGGAATTATTGGAATGTCCGGATGTCCTGCGAATTTTAAGAATTGTCAGACTATTTGGATTTCCTGGGGACTTGTTCAATTTCTGGAATTTTATGTTTTTTTTTGTTCTGGAATTTCTACGATTTGCAAAACAAATGTGTTGGAATTTCTGGCATTTCTTCAATCTCTGAGATTTCCGGAATGGAATTGTTGGAATGCTTGGATTTCCTTGGAATTTCTGGATTGCCTGGGGGATTTCAGGAATCTGGAATTATTGGATTTGCTTGGGAATTTGTAGAATTTTTGGAATTTCTGGAATTATTAGGATTTCTGGACTTCCTGGGTTCATTTTGGAATCTCTGGATTTTTGCTGACTTTCTGGAATTTCTGAACTTTCTCATAAATCTGCGAGACGAAGAAATTCCAAAGGTTCCAGACGTTCCACAAACACCACAAATTCCCAAGGAAATCAACAAAATTCCGAAATTCCAGGAATGCAGCAAATTCCTGAGGATAGCGGCGCCGGCCCCAGCCTGCAATGCATCGTCCTCCCCGCGACCCAGCCGACCCACCCGCGCCCCACTCGCGCCCCACCCGCGACCCATCCCACGACCCACCCAACGACCCAGCCGCGACCAAGCCGCGACCCACCCGCGACCCGGCCCGCGACCCGGCCCGAGACCCACGCGCGACCCACGCGCGACCCACTCGCGACCGACCTGCGACCCACCCCGCGACGTACCAACATTGCTTTAACCAGAAAGTCGGCGCCTGCGGCGGGCTCGTTGCATAATTTGTCAGACTTTGGCGCCTGCGGCGGGCTTCTTCAATGCCTCGCAGACTGCCGACGTACCCGCCGTCCCCTCACTCATATCCGCAACTGCGGGGTGCTACGGATTCGGAGGCCCGAATGCCACATAGGTGCCGAGTAGATTGGATCGGAGGATCACACCGCATCGTCGCTTCATCACCGATGGATCGGCGACGTCGGCGCGCCGTCGCCGTGGAGACAGTCGGGCTCCACATCGAACCGCATAGCCGATGTATCGCCGATGCGGAGCGATCCTCGGACCCAATTTGCTCGGACCCATTTGGGAAGACTAGAGCCCCCGAGAACTGACATCCATCGATACGACTATATGAACCCACGGGCCCCAGGGGTCCCAACCGCTTCCCCGGGGGTAGGTTTTCGCTCCAGGAAAAGAGGACTGCATAAACATGAAGCTTGGGAAGTCCGCGCGGACTTCTTGGATCCGCGCAGGCCTCTCTCCCTGGCGCGCGGAGAGCGCAAGGGGCGGTGCTGGAGGCGCCGACAGGGGGGCCCAGCGCCGATCCCAGAAATCCGCGCGGACCGTCGAAAGTTTATGTTTATGCAGTTTCTTGGCTCTTCGAGGTAGGCTCTCGCTCCAGATCTTTTCTGAATGGCCCTGGGTCAGGTAGGCGGCCCCCAACAAAAAAGGGCGTAGGTGGTTTAACGAGTGTTGCGTTCTCCCTGCCAAGAACTCTTACTTTCCCTGCTCGGGGTAGGGTCTGCCTCTGCCCCCAACACCTCCCCTGGGCCTGGGAGGCTCGGGGGCGGGAGGCGCTGGAGCCCCCAAGATCGCGGCACATCCGAGGCCTCCGAGGCACATCCGTGAGGCCTCAAGACGACCCCAAGACGGTTTCAAGTGCCCTCCAAGGACCTCCCCGAGAGGCAAAAATGGCTCCACCAACACCCAAGGGCAATTGGTGATTGGTGCCTTCTCGCCTTTTCGCTTCCGATGGGCCTCGGGGGCCTCAAGATGACCCAGGTCCAGAAAAAGCCTCAAGATGGATCCAAGAGAGCTCCAAAACGGCCCCAAGAGCGCCCCAGAGCGCCCCAAAAGCGCCCAAAGACGGCCCCCACCCAAAGAGCCCAAAGAGGGCCATTAGACCTTCCAAGCGAGCCCCAAGAGGGCCCCAAGCGGCTCCGCGAGGGCTAAGAGAGACCCTAGACGGCTTCAAGAGCCCTCCGAGAAAACGCTTGCAAGGCGGTTGTTGCACTGCATGCTTCTACACTTCCCGATCAAGGCAACTCGCCTGGCGATCTGTTTCTGGATGGGCTGGCGGGGATACTTTCTTTTGGTCGCGGCCACCAGCGAACGCGCAGGCGGCGAGAGAAGTTGTCCGGGCCTGGCGCGTGAATAATTGATGTTTCTGTAATTGTTTGGCGCTTCGGGGTAGGTTCTCGACCCCGATCCATTCTGGATGGTGACCCCGATCCACTCTGGATGGATCCGGGCCAGATAAGCGGCCCCCGGCGGGCCGAAATCGAGGGAAATCCGCCAGGGATCTGGAGAGCAGCATCCTCCGACGCTCCCACTCGGGCTCCATTGAGGAGGCCTGCCCTGAGATCCGACGCTGCGAAGTTGCACTATCACGAATGGAGCTCTAGACCCCATTGCTCCGCGGCATTTCTGGAGCCGGATCGATACGTGATGGTCACGGGACTGGACACCGAGCGAAAACGCCCGATGTGAAGGAAAAATCGGAAAGCCTGGGCCCGAGGGCTCCCCAAGCGTGGCCGAGGCTGTGCGGTCCTGGTGCCGTTCGAACCATGCATCGGGCCTGCATCGGCCGCTCGGGGCGATCTGGGTACCCCGTGGACGCTCTCGCCGAGGCGCAGCCGCTGCACAAGACACCCCGAGGCTCGAGGACCTCCCTGCATCTTCGGAAACGCCGCCTTGGAACTCAGGGAGGAGGGGCCCCTGGAGGTCTCCACCCGCTCCCCGGGACCGGCTTCGTCGCCACCTTGGGAATCAGGGAGGAGGGGCCCCTGGAGGTCTCCACCCGCTCCCTGGGACCGGCTTCGAAACCTGAGCCGTCCCTTGACGATCCCTGGGCGTGGCGAGGACCTCCAGCGGCCGAGAACAGCAACAGCACCAGCAACAGCAAAGGCAGCAACAGCAACAACAACAGCAACAGCACCAGCAACAGCAACAACAACGACAACAACGACAACAACGACAACAACAACAACAACGACAACGACAACGACAACGACAACGACAACGACAACAACAACAACAACAACAACAACAACAACAACAACAACAACAACAACAACAACAACAACAACAACAACAACAACAACAATTACTAGCACGTGGGGACACTCCGTTCTCACCAGTGCCAGGGTTTTCATAGGAGGCGGGCAATACCCCCACTTTGTGGGGGGGCCGGTTCAAGCTCTACCAAATTTCCAAACGACTCTTCGCCACCACCCACACCCAGCTTCCCGCCCTATGACGTTCGGACACTTCACTTCGTGGCATGCGGACGACCGTGGCTACTATTCAGGGCCCCGCGGCCGACGACGACGGCGTGCGCGCGCGAAGAAAAAACGAATGTGTCCCGCATGGTATTATTTGACAGGGATGATGGCCCTGGCAGGTGCGCAACCGTTGTTGCAGAAGTTCGAAAAAGTTGCTCGCAAAAGCCCGTTTGACAGAAATGATTAAAAAGTGTTGGGTTTCCTACGAATCCGCAAGAGCGCGCGGGATGACATTTTGACATTTTTTTTGAAAAACCATTGGTTTTTTGATGTTTTTATGTTAAAATCGCTACGAAAACTAAGGTTTTGGAAGGATTTCGTCTTGCGCGCGCGAATGTCCACTTTACCTTATTTTTTGCAAGGGATTCTTGAAGTTTGGTTATGTTAGAACAAGAAATGTCCACTTTAGCTTATTTTTTTTGCCGATCGTAACAACACAACCGGATCCGGACCAACCCGTTTTGCCTGAGACTTCCTCACGAAAATGATGAAAATGAGGCTGCGGCCTAGGCGCGGCGGGGGGGTCGTGCACCAGGGGTCCCAACAATAATTATTCTTTAGAAGTAATAATGTTCAACAACAACAACAACAACAACAACAACAACAACAACAACAACAACAACAACCACAACCACAACCACAACAACAACAACCACAACAACAACAACAACAACAGCAGCAGCAGCAGCAGCAACAACAACAACAACAACAAAACCTCGTGACGATGTACGACCCGAGGGGGTCCTGGGGATGGAGACCTCTCGAGAGCGGCCGACATCAGTATCCGCGCCCTCGCTGTCTGGATTCCGGGGCGCCATCCCGCGGATACGCGGTCGCACGGCCACGTTCCGCGCGGGGCATCTGCGGAAAAAGGCCCCGTATCTGCAGAGTCGCGGCCCAGGGACCCAGCCCGCGAGGCCGCGAATACAGATACGCTTTTCGCCCACGAATTTCCCAGCCTTGCCGAGGTTGTGCCAGCCGCTCTCCGGCGAGATGGCGAACCTTGTGTTGCATCTTCGGGGGACCCTGTCGTCCCCGTCACGCCCGCATCCGCGTCGAATCCGCGTCGAGACCGCGTCGAGTCCATGCCAGCCTCGCCGAATCCCCCTCGAATCTTCGTCGAACCCGCGTCGAGCCCAGGCCAAAATCGCGACGAGTCCGCGCCGAGCCCGCGCCAGGCCCGAGAGGAGACACCAAAGTTCGGGGGGAAGGCGAGGGCCCCCGAAGATGCAACGCAGCCGTGCGGCACGCGGCTGCGCGGGCCTGCGGGGCCGCAAGGCCTGCGCCCGAGGACGTCTCCAGGCAGAGCAGCAGTGCGTCGTCGTCGTGACCGTCGCCGTCGCCGTCGCCGTCGCCGTCGTCGCCGTCGCCGCGGTCGTCGCCGTCGCCGTCGCCGTCGCCGTCGCCGTCGCCATCGCCGTCATCGTCGCCGTCATTGTCGACGCATTCGCCGTCCACGGCGAGACGGCGAACCTGCGCGCCGAGCCCCGCGGCGAGCAGGTCGCCTCTTCGGCCTCGGGCGCGGCGCGCGGCGCGGCGGCCTCATCCTCGGGCAGCTCGGGGTCGACGGGCGTCTCCCCGCGGTCCCAGGCGGCCTGCTCCTTGCTCTCCTCCGATGCGAGATCGCTGCCTACGCACCGTATCTTCTCATCCTCCTCCTGATCTCCTGATCTCCTGATCTCCTGATCTCCTCCTCCTCCTCCTCCTCCTCCTCCTCCTTCTTCTCCTCCTCCCCTCCCCATCCTCCTCCTCCTCCTCCTCCTCCTCCTCCTCCTCCTCCTCCTCCTCCTCCTATTCCTCCCTCCCCCCCCCCTTCCGTACCATGTACGGACTCCCTTCGGCCTCGCTCCGGCGCGGTACGGTGCATAACCTGTTCGGCTGTGGGGGGCGAATGCCTGTGCACCGTACCACTCCTGATTCGAGGATGGAGCCTCGCAACCCTCCCGTGATGGGTCCTCGCTCTTGGGTCCACGTGTGAGGGAAGCGAGGCGGGACTTGGCAGGCAGCGCGGGCGGAGGCGGCACGAGCATGCCGGCAAGGGCGAGGCGCCGGCGCGGCACGGTACACAGCGAGCGCCAGCGCGGACCCGCCGCAGAAGCGTCTGCATGACGCCCGGAGACCCCCCCCGCGGCGGCGTGACAGAAAATCGCGACCCCGCCTCCGCGCGCCCCTCGCGCCCCCCCCCCCCCCCCGTGGAGAGGGGCAGCACCGCTCTGGCGCACAGACCGCAGCGCAAGAGGCGCGAGGCTCTGAGCGCCCACACGGGCGCCCCCTTGGATCTCCGACGATGTGATGTTTGTCCCCCTCCTCCTCCTCCTCCTCCTCCTCCTCCTCCTCCTCCTCCTCCTCACCATCATCATCATCATCATCACCATCACCACCACCACCACCACCACCATCATCATCATCATCAGCAGCATCATCATCAGCAGCATCAACATCAGCAGCATCAGCATTATCATCATCAGCATCACCACCACCATCATGAACATCATGAACATCATGATCATCATCATCATCATCATCAGCATCATCATCATCAGCAGCATCAACATCAGCAGCATCAGCATTATCATCATCACCACCACCATCATGAACATCATGAACATCATGAACATCATGAACATCATGAACATCATGAACATCAGCATCAGCATCAGCATCATCCTCATCATCGTCATCATCATGATCATCATCATCATCATCATCATCATCATCATCATCATCATCATCATCATCATCATCATCATCATCATTCCCCCTTCTCCTCCTCCTCTTCCTTCTCTCCTCCTCCTCCTCCTCCTCCTCCTCCTCCTCCTCCTCCTCCTCCTCCTCCTCCTCCTCCTCCTCCTCCTCCTCTCCTCCTCCTCCTCCTCCCCTCCTCCTCCTCCTCCTCCTCCTCCTCCTCCTCCTCCTCCTCCTCCTCTCCTCCTCCTCCTCCTCCTCCTCCTCCTCCTCCTCCTCCTCCTCCCCTACTCTTCTCCCCCACCTCCCACCTCCTCCTCCTCCTTCTCCACCTCCCCCCTCCTCCTCCTCCTCTCCTCCTCGTCCTCCTCGTCCTCCTCCTCCTCCTCTCCCTCCCCCTCCTCCTCCTCCTCCTCCTCCATTATGCCGAGGAGACGTAAAACTCGAACTCGGGGATCTCGGTTTGGCCTGACGGGGCCATCATGAAACTGACGCGACCCAGTCTGAAATTGGACGCGGGCTTCCGCTGCAGAGATCTTACGAAAACCAGACCGTCATAATCCATGACGCGCTCGTCAAGAAGCGTCGGCAGAACCGAGTTCCGGCGTACTCGAGTCTCACGATTCCCCGATCCTGGCGTGTTCCCCAATCCTGGCGTGTTCCCTCGATTTCGGCTCTCTGGGGGTGTCTTCGGGCCCCAGAACTGTCGAACGCTGGTCTGGGGCGAAGGAACTGCCCTCAGGCAAGCGGTCGGAGCCTCTGGGATCGGCGGATGTCAGCGTAGGACATCTGCACATACTTTCGGAGCTCCGCACGCATTGCCCTGGTCGGCGCTAGACCCCCCTGACGGCGCCTCTGGCGCCGCTTCTGGCGCGCTTCCGCGCGCCAGTCCAGGAGGTTCAGCGCCGATGCGAGGAATCGGAGAGGAAGTATATGTTTATGATTTGCTTCTTCTTAGACTCCTCCTCGCTCGCCGCGTCCAGCGAAATCCTGTAGGACAGAACAAAACAACCTCGTGATAAGCATCTCTGAAGGCAAAGCCTTTCAGCCAACGCGCCTGAAGAGGGAAGTAGAAAAGGCGGGACTGGTAAGGAAACATTTAGGACTGTTTAGCACATGCCAATTCTGGGTGTCGGGGTGTTTGTTCCCTCCTTGATCCTGTACGCGCTGACGTGGAGGTGGCCATCGCGCTCGCGTCGGAAGCAGTCCGTGGTCAGCTTGCACCGGTGCTGCACGGAGTCGTGCCAGAAGCTCCAGAACCTGCGGGGCGTCGACAGGGGGTGCTCCAATCGGACCTAGGCCAGAGGAACATCCCCCAAGAGCATGAGACCCTCCGCCAGCCCAAACACCCCAAACCATAAGATCACCCGAGGGTACCCACCCCCCCTGAGACCCGACGCTGCGAAAAAACTGCAGCATCGAAAACCAAAATCATGACCAGAGCCCTGGACCCCATCTGTCTGCGTCATTTTTCGAGCAGGATCTGAGGGGCAACGATAGGGGGGGACTGGCATAGGGGGGGATGCATCAGCCTGGAATCGGCGATACATCGCCGATAGCTCGGCGATAGGCCTCCAATCGTGAATCCGCACCTTCCTGGGCAGGCTGGGGCCATCGGGACCCTATCGGCGATCAATGGGCGATCGGGGGTCGATGTATCCCCCCCTATGCCTATATCCCCCCCTCTCGTTGCCCCTGAGGATCGATGTGTGAGGGCCCTGGGGCCTGACACTCGGCGAAAAAACGCCCAGGTGACAAAGACGGCAACGCCAGGACCCGAGGGCCCGGGATGCACAGGTACACCCAGCAGGCGCGAAGAACAGCAGGGCGCCCTCCCCGACCCTTCCTCGATCTTGTGCCTCGGCCCAACTCTAGCTTTCAGTCGGGCCTGTCCCCCTACAGTGCAAGGGGATTTTGGGCGAAAAATAAAAAAAGGCTTCAACAATACTCAAAATATGCCCACAAGTATACTCAAAAATAGCCCCCAGACTACTTTTTACTACTCTTGAATATCCCCCCCTGTAGAAAGACAGGCCCGACCTAACTCCAGCTCGGGAGGCCAGAGACGATGACCGGACACCTGCGACTGACATCGCCGAAAGCTCCGCGGCACGCCCGCGGAACCTGGCCAAAGACCGCACACTTCGGCGGTGGGCAGACCTCCCTTTAGTAAACCTCCCCTCAATGAAAACGGCCTGGGACCGAAGCCGACGGACCTGGAACCGCAACAATGCCGGCCGCGACGCCCTCTCGCGAACCGAGAACGGCCAATTCGCTAATCGACGTGTCAGGATAGGAGGTCTTTTGGAGTCCCGAAACGGTGCGGTGACGAACCGTGCGGTGACCTCGGAACCCCGAGAGACCTCACCGCACTGTCCGTCACCGCACCGTCCTCCACCGCACGGCTTTGGGACCCCAGAGGTCCCCGTCGCCCGAGACACCCTCGCAGAGGGCCTCGAGCCCCAAAACCGTGCGGTGACCCCGCATCCCCACCGACTCACCGCACGGTGTGGCCACCACCCCGTTGGGGGGCCCCCGAGGTCGGGCGCCCTCGGGGGGCGCAGGCCCCCCCGAGGGGAGAGGCACGTGGGCCCTCCGGAGGTCGCTGCCCCCGCCCCCCCCCCTGGGGGCGGCCCCCCGCGGCCCCGGAGGTCCCGTCCACTCTCCCCAGGGCTGAGTCGGGCGCGTCCCCCTGCAGAGGGACTGTGGACGAAAGAGGAACCCAAACATACGCAACAGATGCTCAAACGATGCCCAGAAGTACTCAAACACATAGTCCCCTGACTGCTGTTTTACTATTTTGGAATATTCCCCCTGTAGAGGGACAGGCCCGACTTCACCCCAGGGCTGGGTGTTCGCCCAGGGCCCATGCCTGATTTGCCCCGGGCCCGAAAACACCCCCCAGGGGCCGAGATGCGCCGTTCCGGTCGGCGCGTGTGAGGTGCTTGTCCTCCTCCTCCTCCTCCTCCTCCTCCTCCTCCTCCTCCTCCTCCTCCTCCTCCTGTCGTCCTCTCTGTCATTCGTGAGTCGTCGTCTCTGCCAGCTCCTTTCCCTGCGGCCCCGCTTCCCTGGGCCCGTCGCCACTACCCCCTCGCTCCTGGGCCCTCCTCCCCAATCGCGGCGCCAGCCAAATCGAACGTCGTCGAAATTAAATCGAAGGGAAGCTCCCTCCCTCTGATCCCTCCCCCGTCGAAAATCAATCGAAGGAAGGCCCCCTCCCTTTGATCCCTCCCCCGTTTGGGGGGGGTCCCAAGGGGGATCCTGAAGGGGGGGTCCTTGGGAGGTCGCGGGTCCTGGGGGGGGGGTCGCCACCCAGATAAGCATTCATCCCGGGAGTTCCCTGGTCAGACGAAAGCAACAGGACGGGCCAAGAGTGCCCGAAGAGGCCCCCAAAACGCTCGAAGAAGGCTCCGCATCGCTTAACGATCACAAAACCGCATGGCTAATCCAGGGCCATTTGGTGAACAATTGTCTCATGTCTGGTCGTGTGTATTTTCGTGCCCCACGCATCATCTGTTTTTCAACGTTCCGAGGGGCGTCTGATCAGCACCTTGTAAAATGTATTCAGTTTAGCCACGTTAATAAGACATGCAAAGTCACGAAACCGAGACTGTTTAGCCACGAAGGGCCACAACATAGACGCGGCGTGGATGTTTTTCACGGCCAGTCACCTCTAAACACGTTTAGTCATGCATATTTAGCCATGTGCACCAACGCGCATTTAACATATCAACATTAAAACCACATGTAAAAATGGAATCAGCATACACATGTTTCTAATCCGGACAGGCGTGAATGACCAGGTTAAAGTTTAGAGCGATGACGGGCGTCATCATCTGCAACTGTCTATAAGCAAGATTGTACCTCGCGCCAACTGTGCGTCTTGGCCCCCCAGGGAACTCTTCCTTCGCGTATTCCCACCAGCCCGTCCAGAAACGATGCGCAGGGGAGGTGACTTGATCACTAAGGGGTAACTGCGTGCAGTGTGACAAAGAGCGGGGCAGCCGTCGTCGTCGTCGCCGTCGTCATCGTCGTTGTCGTCGTCATAGTTGTTGTCGTATTCGTCTTCGCCTGCCTCCTCCTCCTCTTCTTCGTCTTACTTTCGCGATTCTTCTTATGGTTATTCTTCGTTGTCGTGTGCTTCGTTCTCAGCCATCATCTTCCTTTGTGTGTTCCGTCCCCGTCCTCCTCCTCTGCTTCCTCCTGGCGCGATGCAAGTGGATTGTCTTGTCTTGTCTTGTCTTGTCTTGTCCTATCTTCTGAATCAACCTATCGTGCGGGCAGCAATGCTTCGCGTTTCCCCCGTCTGTGCCGCCCTTCACCGTGAGTTGCATGTATCCACGTTTAGCCACAACGTAGCCACGGCGCGGCATCGGTTTTAGACAAGAACAACTATGTCTATACACAGTCTTTCTAGATACGGAACTTGTTTAGACACGGCCGCATATTTTAGACATGTCGAGCCACTTTCAAGCCATGCCCGAGCGAGAACCAAGCGCGGCGACTCGCAACTTAAACCTTTCACTTTAAACACTTGTGCGCCGAGCTGAGGCGAGAACCACGTCCCGGCAATTCCCGGCTTAAAGAAAAAAACGCGCATTCAAGTGATCTGTCCAAGAAGCCTTCACGGCCTCCTGAAGGCCCATGAGGCCTGCAAAACGCCCCTGGAGGCCTCCAGAAACACTCAAAAAAAAGGCCGCCAGAGACCAAGATGTGGGCGTCCTTCCCCCTTCCGCTTCTCGACGCCCCACGACGGCCTCAGAGGCCCCCAAGATCGCCCCAAAACAAACTGAAGTCCTCCAACACGTTCCCACACGGGCCCACGCGGGCCCCAAGACGGCCCGAAACGCCTCCAAGACAGGCCTCGCAGCACCCAAGACTGCTACAAGAGGGTGCCCAGACGGGACAGTCGAACGGACATCTCGAGCCCTCGCACCCGAGAAGCTCTCAGGAGGCCTCCAAGAGGCCTCCAAAACGCCCCCAGGAAGCCCCTGAGGCCCCCACCAGGCTCCCAAGAGGCCCCCCGAAAGTCTCCCCAAAAGCCCCCAAACTGCCCACCAAGGGCCCCCGAAAGCGCTCCGTAGAGACCCCGACAGACATCCCTCCGCCCCCTGCTCCTCACCCTCCTCCTCCTGTTCCTGCGACTCGTTTTCATCGTCCTCCACCTGCTCATTGCCCTTCGGGACCTCCTTCTGGCCCAACTCCCCCTCCTCATCCTCCTCCTGCTATTCCTCATCCTCCCCCTCCTGCTCCACGGCGTCCTCCAACTTCCTCCTGCTTCTCCTGTTTTCCACCTCCTGCTCCTCCTCACCCTTTCCCTCCTCCTCATCCCCCCTCCTTCGAATCCTCCTCCTCATCATCCTCATCCTCCTGATCATCCTTCTTATTATGATTCCCCCCCTCCCCCGCGTACTCTTCTCATGGCGCTCCGTAACCTTACCTCGACCTCATCCTTCCCATCCTCCTTTTCCAGCCCCTCCTCCTGCCCCTCTTCCGCGTCCTCCTTCTTCTCCTGCTCATCTGACTCCCATTATCCTCGTCCTCCTACTGCTCCTTCCCCCCCGTCCTCCCCCTGCCCCTGCTCCCCCTCCTCATCCTCCGCACCCTCCCGCTCCCCCTCCTATTGCTCCACCGCGTCCTCCGCTACTTCCTCTCCGTAGCCATTTTGGCTCACGATGTTTGCCTGGGGGGCTGCTCAGCCTCCAGGCAGAATGGATTGCACTAGTCCGTGCAGAGACCTCGACCGTTCTCCGCCTGGTCCGCCCCAGGTGTGGAGCTCGATGCCAGCGCATCGAGCCGCAGCCGCTTCTCAGCGGACAACATGGCGCATCCTCCTCGCGGCGGCGGCGGCGCTCCCTGGCGTGCTGGCGACGGCTGGAACTGCGGCGCCCGCGGCTACTTCAACTTCGGGGACCGCAGAAAGTGCAGGCAGGCGAGCTGCGGGGGCTACCGTCCAGGGCTTCGGAGACTTCAGGCGGCGGCTGGGGATCCTGCTCATCGCCGGCCTCCCGGTGCCGTGCGGCTTCGTGGGCCAGGCGCCGCATGGCAAAGCGGCGGCGGCGGCGGCGGTGGCAGAAGCGGCGGACGCGGCGGGGGCTCGTCTGCTGCCGGAGGTGCCGCCCAGCCCCAGGTCTCCGATGAGGATCGCGCGGTCATCCTCAAGATCGCGCGGACATCCCCGCGCATAGCTCCCACCCGACCAACCACTCACCCAGCTACCCGTCTTTTGGACTGAGGGACGCTGTCTCTCTATGTGGGTA